TAACTCTAAGGCCAAGGACTCACGGTCCGATCTTCTCTCGTCCCAGACGCGGTATCGGAATGGAGGCGAAATTTTCACAAATCACAAAACCGCAGTTTCCTGCGGTCCCGCAGATGACGCGGTTGCGATTATCGCCCGCAAACTTGACGGTTGATTATCATAAGACGGGTGGGCGGTGAAACAATCAGTTGATTTCCAGACCGGCCGTCCTATTGCGTTCGCTCGCCAACCGACCGCAGAGCCCGCTGGTGCTAGCCGCCGCGGCTGCGCCCGCCGGCAAACAATCGCAACCGCCACGGGGTTGTATAGTCTCTTCTCACAGTTACAGTTGTACAGTCTCTTCTCTGTGCCTTTAGGCTTAATTCATTCTGTCTCCTGCAGTAATTCACCGAGGGAAGTGGAAACCTTACCTAATTTTTCTTCTTCTCCTCTTATAATAATTATCTTCGGATTCACTTCGTTGCGGGAACCAAGACAGTTACTCATGTCCCTGGGACGCGCCGGACTTCAGTGTTCTGGTGTTTTCATGGTTGTATCTACTGTAGATCCTGGCTTACAGGAGTTGCAGCGGTTTTGGGAGGTTGTGGCGGGCATGTCCCAATTAGAAACCGCCGCGGGCGTAACCCACGCCGTGAAAATTGTTTTGATTTTTTTCATACATATATTTTATTTATTAGTATTCTACAAAGGCTGCGGGCCCGCAACAGTAGCTGAAATGGCGCCGTAAGTCCTTCGCCTTTTTGTTATTACAAAGCTGACGAGTATGTTTATTCGTTTGACCGCGCAAATCGCACGAACTACTGAATCTAAATCAATAAATCATTTTGTGTTAGATAGTCCATTTATCGACCAAGGCTATAGGCTATCAAACACATTGCGATCAATAGGAATGCAACAGCGAGTATTTAGTTGGTCTCAAATAATCCGGAAATGAAGTCGGTTAATTAATATACTAAATCCTTCTCCTAAGTGCAACAAACACTTATAAAACGCATCAAAATACGTACAGGCAATCGCGAGGTAATCGCGCTCTAACATAAATACATACAGCTAAAATTGAGACTCATTTTTTGAAGTCTGTTAATATACAGTGACTCGTGTAGTGTAGATGTCCAGTCAACTGATGGTAGCGAGGTTCACTGTCCAGTGACACACGTACGCTGGTATCGTCATGAGCTAATGGTAACATGTAAACAGTGACTCGTGTAGTGTAGAGATTGTCCAGTCAACTGATGGTAGCGAGGTTCACTGTCCAGTGACACACGTACGCTGGTATCGTCATGAGCTAATGGTGACATGTAAACAGTGACTCGTGTAGTGAGATGTCCAGTCAACTGATGGTAGCGAGGTTCACTGTCCAGTGACACACGTACGCTGGTATCGTCATGAGCTAATGTTGACATGTAAACAGTGACTCGTGTAGTGTAGAGATTGTCCAGTCAACTGATGGTAGCGAGGTTCACTGTCCAGTGACACACGTACGCTGGTGTCGTCATGAGCTAATGTTGACATGTAAGCAGTCACTCGTGTAGTGTAGATGTCCAGTCAACTGATGGTAGCGAGGTTCACTGTCCAGTGACACACGTACGCTGGTGTCGCCATGAGCTAATGTTGACATGTAAGCAGTCACTCGTGTAGTGTAGATGTCCAGTCAACTGATGGTAGCGAGGTTCACTGTCCAGTGACACACGTACGCTGGTGTCGTCATGAGCTAATGTTGACACGTAAGCAGTCACTCGTGTAGTGTAGATGTCCAGTCAACTGATGGTAGCGAGGTTCACTGTCCAGTGACACACGTACGCTGGTATTATCATGACCTAATGTTGACATGTAAACAGTGACTCGTGTAGTGTAGATTGTCCCGTCAACTGATGGTAGCGAGGTTCACTGTCCAGTGACACACGTACGCTGGTATTATCATGAGCTAATGTTGACATGTAGCTAAACAGTGACTCGTGTTGTAGGATGCCCAGTCAACTGAAGGTAGCGAGATTCACTGTCCAGCGACACACGTACGCTGGTATCGTCATGAGCTAATGTTGACATGTAAACAGTGGCTCGTATAATATAGAAATTGTCCAGTCAAAATTTGATATTGACGTAAATTTACGCGGGACCGCATTTTTTTTAATAAATCAATCTATTCTTGTTTATGCTATCTAATTGTGTTTACATATCTATCAATTCCGCCATTAAGAACTCTATTGTCTATGCTTACTTCATGTCCATTAGCAATTTTTTTTAAGATGCTATTAATATTATTTTGTGTGCGATTTTCTCAGAATTTACTCGTTTTACGTCATGATTATGTTTTTATAAATGGAACCTAATTACCTTGGCATATGTTTTTTGAGGTGTTTCGGCACTGGACAGTGTTATAATTATTATCTTTCGCATATTCGCCCGCCCTTGTTGATCGTAGCGTAATGTATTAAAGTATATTTCGGTGAGTGTGCGGGGAATTGCACAACTTGATTCCCCCTGGTCCTTTCCATCATCGTACCACAAGACATCGGCGAAGCGTCACCGATTTATGGTAGATGTTCCACCACGCACGAAGCGCTTCGCTTCAAGCTTCCTTGTGCGCACTGCTAAAGAGTGGAATTCTTTGCTAGAGTCTGTATTTCCTGAAGGGTATACCTGGGAGTCTTCAAGGCCCGAGTGAATAGGTTGCTTATGGGACGACGTGCTTCATCGTAGACCGCATCATCGCTTACCACCAGGCGAGATAGTGGTCAAACGTCGACCCATCAAATATAAAAAAAAATATAGCCTTCCTCGATAAATGGACTATTCAACACAAAAATAATTATCAAATGCGAATCAGTAGTTCCCGTCATTACCGCGTTAAAACACTCAAACTCTTTAGCTTTATAATATGACTAAAGAGTTAGTATAGCGATACAAATATATTATGTATCTGTGCACATCTGTATTATTTCAAAAGTCGTATAACTTTGTAAGAATTGGAGCAAGACGTAAATCTTTTTCTGTATGGAATAAAAACTAGACGCATCTATCTTTATGTACACGCTGCTTAAATAAAAATGAATCTTCAAAATCGATCAGTAATTGGGTAGATTCCTAAATTTTATTTTAATGTCCGTCTGGTAGATTATTTAATAAAACATTGGACACGTATATTTCGTTTCTCACAAAATTAAATGCTTTCGACGATATATTGATTTGAAATGACGTATGACGTCACAGCGTGCTACAAAATGTAGTACGTTGTGACGTAACGACCTCCCACTGCTAAACTTAACGCCATTTTATTTATGTATTTTAACTTTATACGAAAGAATAAAAAAATACGTGTCTAATATTTTTTAGTATCTTACTGACGGACTAATTAGATTTTGAATTTTCATTCCCTGGATACTACCCCATTTTTGACTTCTTTGGTGTTGCTATTCTTGGGTATCCATGCGGGCGACGTTGATTGCTTACAACCAAGTTCTCATTTGCCGCGCTATACCTACTTACTTCGGAGTCGCAGAGAACTTAACGGGTTACCGGGGCTCCGGCTCGAAGTGCAGGAGAAGGAACGGGGTGGTTTTTAGTCAGTAAGAGTCTGACATAACCCTCCCGCCTCAACTAGGCGGGAGAAAAAAAATACCTACCTACCTTATTTTTTTTTATTGGCACGCCCTTATCTGCTATTTCGCCTGATGGTAAGCCATAATGCGGCCTACGATGGAACACGCCTACATAAGCAACCTATTCAGTCCAGACTTGAAGGCACCCCACGAAACGTTACACTCCTTTGCTGTTCCCACAAGAAAATCTGAAGCGAAACCGCGTATATGGTGTAGAGAAGTGCTTGTTTTTGAGGGGGGGAATCATCCAATTACTTCTCCCGCCTTGAGTGAGGCGAGAGGGAGTGTCAAACTGCACGGTTGGCGAAGTGACTGTGAAACCGGCTGCCGTGCAACATGTAGCGGTTTCGATTGGGTAGTTTCCAGGGTATCAAAATTAAAAATCTAATTAGTCCATCAGTTAGATAATGAAAAATATTAGACACGTATTTTTTTATTTTCTCGTATTAAGTTGCAATACTTAGATAAAATGGAGCTAAGTTTAGGAGTGGGAGGTCGTTACATCACAACGTGCTACAAAATGTAACACACTGTGACGTCACACGATATTTCAAATAAATATATCGTCGAAAGTATTTAATTTTTATGAAAGGAAAAAATACGTGTCTGAAGTTTTAAATTAATGTGCCAGACGGACATTAAAATAAAATTAAGGAAACTACCCTATTCCCGCACGGAGCAAATCTTTGTGCGACATACTGTTGTTCCGTGTCTGTATGTCATGTGTATGTGAACTTGTATGTTTGTAAACGCACCTACGACGCAGGAGAAAATCGTAATGTGGAGCAACGTTTTTTTAAAGAAAGAAACCAAGACTCCGGTAAACATAAGTTTTCCGCGGCTCCGAGGCATCCCCCATTAATGCGATTCCGGTGTATTGGGGATTGGCGATTTAAACTGTCAAACACCAAGCGGTCACCGGTGACCGCGACCTATTGTTCTTTAATTGTGTCTATAAAACCGGTACTCGACGAGTTAAAATCTTACGTAGACGATAAATTGTGGCCGTGGCGGATAATTGTATAGCACCATATTATTATATGTACCTAGTTATCATATTACATTTAATATTATATAGTATTGCCCATTTTTATCTTTTTTGTATTAGGTATATGTAGTCTGTAAGTTTTATTGATTGTTTAATATGTTTTTTTTTGTTTTTCTATTATTTTGGGTTTCTTTTATTGTGCATCTACCACCCATTGCCAAATTCTTTTAAAAAATTCCATCCAAAGGTTGTCTGGAAGAAATAGCCGCGTGTGATAAGACCGCCCATTGTATTCAAATTACTATTGCAATGTTTACACATTTTTTTCTGTGTGTCCAATAAAGTATAAATAAATAAATGAATATTGTTACCTAATTGATATATTTTATTTGTTACAGGTTTATATAGAGAAGATGTTGAAATATTCGAGCAGCGGTTACTACAGCTGTTTGGCAGTAATCCTTGTGGTTATTGGTTGGTCGGCTACTGGTGAGATTTATAATAGCTTTCTAGTTAACGGTCATCCATGTCAATACCTTTTTTTTATTTTGATGTCGGTGGCACACCTTTAAAAGGCGCCTAGCTTTTTGGGGAGAAAGACTAGGGAGTGTGGGGATTCTTACCTCACTAAAACCATGCTAGCTAAGGAGGAGGCGGGACGCGTGAGGCAGCGAAGCGCTGCCTCCTCGCAACCCAGCCATCGCGAAGGACACACCGGGCGTCGGGGATCGCGAGACGATCTCCGGCCACCGTAAGCGCGGGCCTGCGGACGGCGAGCATGGGTGGCTCCCCGTCCGACCAGAAACAGACCCGAGCGTACGGCGCGTCGCGTTTCGCGCGCGCCTCAAAGAGCCATCAGACCACCACAGATGGGGCCCAATAGGGCCGATGCCGATTCGGAGTCGCGGAGAACCTAACGGGTAACCGGGGCTCCGGCTCGACGTGCAGGAGAAGGAACGGGGTGGTTTTTAGTCAGTAAGAGTCTGACACTTCCTTCCGCCTCACCCAGGCGGGAGCAGTCATTCGATGATTTTCCCCCCTTAAAAAAAAAACCTCACTAAAACCACCCAGGTGGCCACCCTCAGCACCTGTGAGGGGCACCGGGTCCTCTGAAGAGACCTGCTCCGGAATCCATGTCAATACCTACCTATATAGTCTTTTTTGTTGAGCCTTTAATACTAACAGAAAACGCTGTTAAAGACTAAAGCCACTGCCAATGGATACAACAAAGGGACAAGAATTTTTAGCCTTTAGTCTGTTGAAAGTTGCGGCCATAATGTGTTTTATACATGTAAAGACAAGCGCTAAATGGCATTTGGCTATAGCTGCTGGTTTCCTCACGATGTTTTCCTTCACCGTTTGTCAGTGGGGCATACGGTTGCCATCCGTACCTTATAATAAAGTATTGTACGTTATTTAAGATAAGTGAACTCTATACTTTATAAGAATAATAAAGTACACGAAAATACTTTATTTTTGCAAACTTCATTTCTATTAAAGTCGTAAGTATTTTTCGGTATACTTATCGATTCGATATCGATATTATCGATTTATGTTGAATCGATAACTCGCCAGCGCCACTTAGACAATTGCTAGTAAAGATGCAGTTGTTTAGTAAAGGTACTAATTTAATACAAACTGCAAAAAGCAATAAAAAATATATTTTTACATATAATACTAAATAAGAATAAATTGTACTTTATTTTTGTACTATGTACTTTTTTTTCTTACCTATAATCGTCAATATACTTTAAATACCAAAGAAAAAGGTGGCAACCCTTGGTGCATTGCAAGTTAATTAAAAAATTGTAGAAATAAAGTCTATTTTATACCAAGCGAAGTCAGAGTCATATATAGTAGTTTGTAGTTCATAAACAATTTATCATAGACCATTTCTGAAGCAATGTAATCCAGAAATAGAAATATTGTATTAATGGCCGTAAAGACAATCTATTTATTGAGAGAATGGACTTAATATTTATAGCCAAATAGCCGTAAAGAATCTGATAGTGAATCGTTATGATCATTTTCCTTTTAGTGACAAGTAGTCTAATTGAATGAAAGAAAATTAAAAGGAATTCATTCGATACTATTGTTGTTTTTTGTACTTATAAATGTACATATGTTTTTACATAAATGATGGTAGCCCGGAGGTTTAAGACGTCCGCTTCACATGCATGTGAATGCGGGTTCAAAACCTACCAACGTCAAGTACTAATGTGACTTTTTCCGAGTTATATGTACTTTCTAAGATTATTTAGAAACCACTGACAAACGGTGAAGGAAAACATCGTGAGGAAACCTGGGCTTATAATTTCTATTTATAAGTTTGGAATCGCCAACGCGCATTGAGCAAGCGTAGTGGTTAATGCTCAAACCTTCGGTTGGGGGTTGGCTATTTCACTTTGACTAGTTGGCAAATACATACCCAAGTTTGTATACACGTTTAGTTTTACATGACTATAAATGCTAAGCTCCATAAAAGGTTTTCATTTAATTTTAAGTGTAGTTATTATTATTTTTTTGTTTTAGTGGAAGCCATAGACTGCTTTAAGTGTGTGTCTATGAACGGTCGGTTCCCGGCGTGTGATGACCCTTTCCACAACAATCACAGCCTGCAAATGTTGGAGTCTCCTTGTATGGGAGGCAGAAAAGGCAGGGATGGTCTATTCCCTGCCACTTCTTGCATTAAAATTGCCGGTGTTTTTGGTAAGACACTCTTTTTTATGGCATAAGCCGGTAAACGAGCAGACGGATCACCTGATGGAAAGCAATCGGCATCGCCCATGGACACCTGGAACACCAGAGGCGTTACAAGTGCGTTACCGGCCAGGAGTTTGAAGATTGTTGGGGGTTCAGGGATCGGGGAGATTGGGAAAGGGGAATTGGGCCTCCGGTAACCTCACTCACACGACGAAACACAACGCAAGCGATACTTCACGTCGGTTTTCTGTGAGGCCGTGGTATCACTCCGGTCGAGCTGGCCCATTCGTGCCGAAGCATGGCTCTCCCACACTTATATTCTATAACTCTATATAACTAATTAGCTTTAAACACGGAAGTGTATTATTTCGGCACTGCTGTGTTAGCTCGACCGGAGTAATACAACGGCTTCACTGAAACTGACGTAGACACCTAAACAACGCTAGTTACTGGAATCCCGAACCTCCGCTAAAGAAAGAAAGAAATAGAAAAAAAGCATTTATTTGACAGTAGGCACGCATACAGATACAAATATAAAAAAGTAAAGATTTAAAAATACAGATAGGTACTTAAACAGATAAAAAAAACAAGAATAATAAACTAAAATGCCGGCTCTGCACGCCACGCTCTTGTACCTCCTATAGTGGTGCGGGTGTCCATGCGCGGCGATAATCGCTTACCATCAGATGATCTGTCTGCCGCCTTACCTTTTATAAAAAGCTTGAAACCTCCAAGGCTTCTGTTCACTGCAGTATATAGACGTCTTTCAAGCTGATAATGTATTCATATGAACTCCATCTATCTGCTCTTTTAGAGAATAAAAACTATGATTCTATCTTCTCAGATGACACAGGAGAGACCATAACAGTACGAGGCTGTGGTCTGGACTCCGGTACAGCGACCACTGACACGGAGATCATCAGGATGTCGCACTGTGGGAGATTTTACTACGACGAGAGGTAAGCTTGATTTATCATACGTCATTCTGACAGATGTCAGATTTGACAGCTGTCATGTTGGTTGAGAATGAGGGCTATTGTTAATTGTGCCATCGACATATACTAATGGACATGCCTTAGAGATGAGAATTGTGGCACTCCGAAAGAAAGAGAGGAAACGAAGTTTTGATCTATCTTTATCTCTCTCAAAATAGTACTGTAGAAGACGTTATAAGCGAGAAAGAGATAGTGCTAGACCGAAAGCATAGGCCATCTCTCTCACTCTTTTCAAACCAATAAATTACTGCAGATTATACGCGTATGGCATGTCCATTAGTATATGTCGATGATTTGTGCTCTCCAGATGAAGCGAGTGTAGCGTTACGTCTTTTTGTTCAATGGAGAATTTTCTAGTGTCAGTCAATTTTTGATAGCTTAGTATAGTGATTTGATAATTAGGCCTCACGCTAAGTTACCGCTATTTGGTAATCAAAATATTAGCCGTAGCCCTCATGAAATGACTTCAAGTTTAACCTATCAGAATATAAAAGATGATGTATCTAAACATTTCAGATATGTTCACGGTTGTCTACAAAGCTGCAACGATGCCGACGCTTGTAATAATTCCCATAAACTACAACATAATATCTCAGCCTTACTATTAACGATCGCATTCATATTATACACCAGCTAACAAATATAACAAAGCATATAATGTACAATATATCTTAATATATAAATCGCTATGTAGTTTATACATGTTTATATATGTTTAATTTAAGTTGAAAAATAAATTTAAGCTGTGACCCGACTACAGCAAATAGTTAAATTAAAAAAAAAACTATGTCATGTCATTTTGACAGATGTCAGGATGACAGCTGTCATTGTGCTGCTGAGTGAATGGTTTTTGATCTGAGGGCTTAGTACAAATATGTTTTACGTAAAACATGATCGAAACGGGTCCTATACCTAAGTATACATTAGTATCGCGGGCCTGCGGACGGCGAGCATGGGTGGCTCCCCGTCCGACCAGAAACAGACCCGAGCGTACGGCGCGTCGCGTTCCGCGCGCGCCTCAAAAAGCCATCAGACCACCACAGATGGGGCTCATTAGGGCCGATGCCGATTCGGAGTCGCGGAGAACCTAACGGGTAACCGGGGCTCCGGCTCGACGTGCAGGAGAAGGAACAGGGTGGTTTTTAGTCAGTAAGAGTCTGACACTCCCTTCCGCCTCACCCAGGCGGGAGCAGTCATTCGATGATTTTCCCCCCTTCAAAAAAAAAGTATACATTAGTATATAGGTTTACCAATCAGAGAGGTAAACGCGGTAACATTTTAATTCAATCTCGTTGAATGTAAAAAGGACTCCTACTAGGCCCTTTGGAGATTTATGTGTATCTAATTAAGTTGCACAAATTTAATTTTAGTGATATATTTCTAAAAATATAAGCAATGGGTAAGCAAAAACTTATACAGGTCATAACAATAACTTTTATTTATTTTGGTTTTGCAAGAAACTAAACATCTTGAAGTAATTTATATTAGTTTTTAAGTACCAACCTATTAAGTGCAATAATATACTTATAAACCACTTAATCTTTTAGTGGGCGTAGTCGGGTAAAGTTATATGTTTTGCAATAATTTTGACACGCCTCGTACCCACTAAGCTACTATTGACGCGCAACACGTTAGGCAACGTTGCGCAACATCGCGCGCGACTTGTTGTTAGTTTCGGTGCGACATGCATGGGCATAAAATGTTGATAAGTAAAGACACATAAAAATGGTTCGTCTGGTGACCTATTACCGATGAAGTTGGCGAGACAACGTTGCTAAACAAAACTTCCGCAATAACTTCTAACAAGTTGAGCAACAGGTGTTGCAACATGTAGCGCGACAAATGTTGCTTATCAGATACGAGGTTTTACGGTAACAGGCGATTTAGACGTACCTTATTGCCTATATGTTTTCTAAATGAAATTAGTTCATCATGAGCTAATGTTGATATGTAAACAGTAGCTCACATGGTGTAGACTGTCTAGTCAGCTTATCAACAGAATAGTTGCTTTCAACTATCGCGCGACTATGTACCTATTATAATATGTACATTTTTAATTTTATTTATTGTGTTGTTATTTAGTATGCAGGTAGGAAAATATAGATTGTGTCAGTACAGAGACAGTAACCAATGGTTGTCTAGAGCCGACCAATGGTTACAAAAGATATGGCTTCGTTACAAAGCATACAATTCAGTATAACAATAGCTACTGTCTGTGTACTGAATCAATCTTTGTTTTCTTACCTGCATACTGAATGATTTGGCTGACTGTTTAATATATTTGCATATCACTGTTTTCATCTCATCACGAATCTTTGTATTGCAAATCTTTTCACAAATTGACACGAATACTTGAATAAACAAGAAGTTTTCAAAATCTGAAAATATAACGTTAACCCATAGATCTCCAAGCGGTCACCGGTGACCGCTCTCCACTAACTATATTATAGACCTTATTTCCAATGCTTAGAGACTACTTTTGTATAAACAAATTTAGGGGATGAATTTCAATATATATTAATCATAATTATTATGTTCATCGGCTTACTCACGTAAATATTTGACGAGGAACTCGACTAGTTTCAAGCCATGCTAGAGGAGTTCTTCGTCAAATAACCATGTGAGTAAGCCGAAAAAAAAATGTTAGTATGCCTCGCGACAGTTAAAATATTCTTTCTTTCTTTCTTTAAAAAGAAAGAAGTTATAATATAAATCTACCGATGTTATAATAAAAACAGACTCAAATAGGGTAGTTTCCTAAATTTTATTTTAATGTCCGTCTGGTTCATTAATTTAAAACTTTAGACACGTATTATTTCTTTTATCACAAAATTAAATACTTTCGACGATATATTAATTTGAAATATCGTGTGACGCCACAGCGTGCCACATTTTGTAGCACGTTATGACGTAACGATCTCCCACTGCTAAACTTAGCGCCAATTTATCTAATCTAATCTAAGTATTGCAACTTAATACGAGAAAAAAATACGTGTCTAATATTTTTTCATTATCTAACTGACGGACTAATTAGATTTTTAATTTTGATACCCTGGAAACTACCCAATTATGATTTATGTCAAAATCAAAGATTTTAAAATATTTATTGCAGTTTATAATGGGGATGATGACAGGGTATGAAAATTAAAAATATAATTAGTCCGTAAGTTAGGTAATGAAAAAATATTAGACACGTATTTTTTTATTTTGTCGTATAATAAAACAATACTTAGATAAAACGAATCAAAGTTTAGGAGTGGGGGCTAAAACGTCATTTCTTAGTATAAAATGTACTGAAAAGTGACGTCACGCGACATTTCAAATCAATATATCTTCGAAACTATTCGTTTCTGTGAGAAAAGAAAAAATACGTGTCTAATGTTTTTAAATAATCTACCAGACGGACATTAAAATAAAAATTAGCCGTCTACCCTATTACAATAACAGTTTGTGTAAGACAATCTTTATTAGTTTCGAGTCAGATGAACTCTTCCTCATGAGCAGCGAGCGCGGTCGTAGCGATGTCGCGCAGTCTACTACTGACGAGTCGAAACTAATAGAGCTTTTCTCAGTACCTATGTTTACGTGAGTATCCTGTCATTTTTAGTTAGTTAAATGAGTATGTCCCACGATATAAAAATATAAATTCTAACTAGCAAACCCGGCGAACTCCGTTTCCCCACCAGGCCAGACCAGGCTTCGTTTTATGTAACATTTTTTACTATAAACCTCACTGAGCCCGAGACCTTTCCAGCGAATACAAAACCGTGGAAATCGGTTCGTGCGTTCTGGAGTTATAGCGTCAGGAAGAAAAACCCGACTTATTTTTATATAGTACATTATTATCTTTTCTGACAAATGTATTAGTGACAAAAATTAAAAATCTAGTCTGGGTCAATGTAGCTTTAAAAAATATTGTCCTTTAAGGTCTGTCTAGACGAGCCAATTTTGTTCTACTTAAAAAATACTTACACCCCGTTTTTGAATCAACGGCATCGCTTTCGACCGAATACTGAAGTGGTACTCAATTTCAAATTGTACCTACTTAAATATAGTGCTATCTCTTTCATTTTATATAGAAATTGTAGGGACACAACTATTCTTATTATTTTAAAGTGTGGGATAGCCATGCTTCGGCACGAATGGGCCGGCTCGACCGGTGTGATACCACGGCCGAGCAGAAAACCGACGTGAAACATCGCTTGCGTTGTGTTTCGTTGCGTGAGTGAGCTTACCGGAGGCCCAATTCCCCCCCCCTCCCCTCCTCAATCTTCCAATTAACAAAAGGCCGGTAACGCACTTGTAACGCCCCTGGTGTATCATGTGTCCATGGGCGACGCCGATTGCTTACAGGTGATCCGTCAGCTCGTTTACCGGCTTATCACATAAAAAAAATACTTACGCTTGACAGGGCAGGCCCTTATTATAAATACATACATAATACATTAAAGTACAAAGGCCTACTTGGTTGTTCCTTTGCAGGCTAAGCAAATAATATTATCTCTTTCTTATATTTACTACTAGACAAGGACAGCGATAGCGACTTGGCGCGAGAATGTCAATTTTTCAAGATGGCCGACTGTCGCTGTACTGTCGCTTTCGTAAAGCCAAGGATACATTAGAGGACAACTGTCGCACAACATGTATCGGCGACATGTGGTGGGTGGGTGAAGTCAGCCGATTTCACCCGACATATTATAAGGCGACAACGCGCCCCTTATATCCACAGTGACGTTGATGTTGCCAGATATATCGACCAAAGTCAGGCAACGTCGCGCTACTCCACCCAACGTTGCTGGCGACATGTGTGGCAGGACATATGTCCCCTAGTCTATCCTTGGCTTAAACAATTTTCCTAAAAAACGTCGCAATAATTTTAAAAAGTACAATTTGTAGATTTTCTACTTTATTTGCTAAGTCTAAGATGTTTTTGTAACATTTTGATTCTAGTTGCTGGATTTGCTTATTGTAGACACAATCACCATATTATTATGTTGTTTTTGAGAAGTGCAGTGCAAATGTAGGTAGCTTGTTTTCATCGCGATCTCAAAGATAGTATTAGTTCTAAATGATTTTACAGAAATTCGCAATAAATAGGTATGGTGTGCAGCATGTATTTTTGCCGTGCGAAAAATATTCGATATGAATGCGAAAACTCGACCAAAATAATTACCAAAATTGGGACTAGAAGCTGGGATAAAGCCTTAAAATAATTAGCATTTTCTTAAATTATCTATTGTCTATTTAAATTCTATAAATAGCCAAAAGTACCATGTCTAATTTTTATTTTAATGTAATGTCAGAAACGAATACTTTCGACGATACATTGATTTGAAATGTCGCGTGACGTCAATTCTATGTACATTTTATACGTAGAAATGACGTTTTAGCCCCCACTCCTAAACTTTGATTCGTTTTATCCAAGTATTGTTTTATTATATGACAAAATAAAAAAATACGTACTAATATTTTTTCATTCCTAATTGACGGAGTAATTAGATTTTTAATTTTCATACCCTGTCATCATCCTAATTGAGGCATTTTCTAACTAACTACTCTGAAATGAAACATCGAAAAATACTTAGAGGCCACAGTCTCTTTTACTTAACTCGTCATCATTCATTTATAGGCAATACC